TCCACGGCCCCCACCGTCTTGGCCTTCTGCAGTGGGGCGATGGGACACGGGAGTAAAAAATCATGCCCCAGCCCCTTCATCCCTTGCCCCACGCGAACTCCTGACACCCACTGAAGACCCTGCCGGGCAAGATGTATACAACCCCCAGACCCCCCCAGCCCACCCAGGGCCATGGGGTCACCCGGAAAGCATTTGCGCTGAGGGCAGAGCTCCGTCCTCCCCTCCTGACCTCCCTCCTGCTCCCAGCAGCCGAGGGGCTATTTCACTCACCGTGACACCCACGTTAATGGGCTCCTTCCCCGCCACCAGCTGGCAGATGGCTTCATACGCCTCCTCTTTGCTCTTGTCCTTAAATCTCTTGGGGGCCAGCTCCTCCAGCGCCTTCTTGAACTCCTCGTAGTTGATGACGCGTGCCGTCTTCCCTCTGCAAGCACAAAATCCAGGCTGCCGTCAGCGTGTCTTCAGGTTGTGCCTGCAAACGGGGCTGCGGTAGGATGAGCTGCATCAGGGAGACCCTGGCTTTGTCCTCCGCCAGCCTCAGGCCCCTCGCCCACCTCTGAAATGCAGCTAGGGCCAGGGTAATCCTGGCTGAATGGTTCGGGCTGGGCATAGCCGGTGCTGAGCTCCAGGAGATTTTCAGCCACATGCTGTTAAAGTCCCTGGTGCCGAAAAACCTCACCCCTGCATGGAACTGCCCTGGGATTTGGGTGCTGGTAGCAGGAGGAGACACACATCCATCCTCACTGCTCTCGGCCTGCCTGGAATTCCCAGCACCCTCTCTCCCTTGGCAGGCATCAGCCCTTCTCTGGTCAAATTTGGAAGGACGTGCACAGAGCATCTCTCCCACGAGTGCCTGGCTCTCGTCTCCGGAGCAGCACGGCAACCCACCCTCCTACACGCTGAAAACCTCCCAGTGCTCAGAACCTCCCGGTCCCACCAGGGAACAAGGGGATGCCCAGACCAAGGGCATGAAGGGAGCAGGTTCTCCACCCATCCTCGCTCCTGCACCCTGGTGTGGAGCATCTGGTGTCACCAAGTCCTCAAGGATCCCAAAAGCAGCCCCAAGGTGCCTTTAGCTCTTCAGCTGCCCCTGTGACCTCCAAGGACCAGAGTCCTCCTTAAGCTCAGGTGTGGGCTGGGCCATGCCACATCGCAAGAGACACCCCTGAGCACCCTCCTCTGCTCCCTGTGGCACCTTCTTGCTAGATGAGAACCTGGCAGAACCAGTCAGCCCGACCCCAATGCCTGGGAGTGGGAGCAGGGGCACAGCCTCTACATCAAAATCTGAGCTTCCCATCCCCCAGATTTGGATTAATTTATTATTAGGTCTTGCAAAAGCAGCCACACAAACTCCCTGAAGACGGGATGCCACAGGGCAGCACTCGCTGCTCCATGCCGAACGCAACAAGGGAACAGACAGCCTGGGCACACAGCTGGGGTACCACCCCTCGCCGGGGCCCACCGCACCCAGGCACCACCACCCTGCCTGCACCGCAAGGGCATCCCCACCTCTTTGGGTGACTGGAGACCCCAAATAGCCAAGTCACTTACTTCACCTTGGAGAAGACAATGTCCACGTCGGTACTGGTGACGCTTTTGCCATCAGTGACTTTGCAGTCTTTGCACAGCTTGGCCCAGTTCTTCCCGTTCATCTCTTGCCCCGTAGCCTTGGTGTCGCCGTAGATGGCGAATTTGCGGAAGCTCTCTTCCAGAGACGCCATCTCAGTGCTCCTGGCCATGGGGCTGCAGGACAGGGTGGGCGGAGGGGCCTGTTACTGCCCAGGCTCTGGCTGGCTGCACCGGCAGAGCTCAGCCGGCTCCGCTCTCGGGTCCGTGAGAGCAGGGGGAGGAAGGCTGGCGAGGGTGGAGGGACTGCAGCAGGAGCAGGGTGTTGGC